AACTTATGCAGCCCAAGTTGCTATTGCATTACAATTATAGAAGGAAAGCAAGGAGTTGTATAGATTAAGGCCATCAACATACCTTCAATGATGATTGAAATTTTTTCCCTTACTGTCATTTGCATCTAATTCGTCTGCAAAACAAAATAAATCGTTGACTATACAAACACATATCATTGTTAAAAAAGTAAAACATTCGATCTTTGTCAATACTCTATGACCAGACATCAAATTTCTTCATACTATCTCAGAAAATAAGAATGTCACTCTTTCAAATCGATATTACAAAACTAAAAAAATGCAGAAAATAAGAAAACCAAAACGAATTGCATTTACTTACTCGTTTCGAATAGAATGTCGAAAAATCCAACTTATAATCTGTTGCAATTGACATAACTGAACAGTAAATGGAAAAAGAATTTTTTTTTTGATTATAACCAAAATAGTAACGATTTTAGACCTGAGAATATTTATGCTTAACAAACGGAAAAATCGAAGCTTTCGCTTATTATTAATCGATTATCTGAAGATTTCACAATACATGAGATCTTTGTCAATATTGTATGAGAATATCTCGTCTTGTATAATAAAAGTCCATATAGTACTGGAGAAAATTATATAAATAAAATCAAATAATGAGATTGAAGAGATGAAATTCAATTATGTGAAGATGCATAATTATATAGGAAAAAAAAAACACAAAAATAGACAGTTAGTGATTCCTACTTTGAAAAATCTTCAAGAAGTAGCATCTGTTATGAGAACCAACAATTTGGCTGCTTAATGTCTAACAATTGGATACTTATTGACATCTTTAACAGATCTGGATAGTGCATCGATAGCGTTTTTAGTATGTAATTGACCCAATACATAATACACTTCTTGCTTTAGTAAAACAATCTTTGAAGTTACTGATTCTTTAATTACGAAAATTCTTCGTGTCCACCATTGTTCTAATGTGAAAAAAGAGCAGCATAACATTCATACATGCACCGTTCTTCACTCAAAAGAAATACTTCAGAGAAACGGAAGTTTAAAAATATGAGAAAGTTAAATATGTTACCTTCGAATCCTGTAAAGTCAATTCAATTGAATACGGTATTTCCGGCTTAAAGTGATCCGGCATTACCCATATTCAAACGCCTCTAACTTTGAGTTCCATTGCATCGAGTTACCTGAAATTTGTTTGATATCATGAAGTTGTGTAAGCATATTTGTAAAGCAATTGTAATCAGACTAATATACTGAGTAGATAAAATATGAAGTTGAAAAGCCTTTGAAAATATAAAGCGCTTAAATCAATCAGTTATGGAGGTGTAGATAAAATAGGGATTTTTGGTTGGAAGCTCACGTTTGGGAGCACAATCAGTCGTGGGATAAAATCCGACTGTTTTCCTCCTTTTTTTTTTAACTTTTATGTATAAAAAAAATAATTGCAAATTTGAGTGGGCAGTTGTTAAAGAAAAACGGCCAACTTCAAACATGACCGATTTTTTTTAAAAAATTGTTTTCCTCCTTTTTTTGTTAACTTTTATTTATAAAAATATAATTGCAAATATAAGAGGGTAGTTGTTGAGTAAAAATGGCCAACTAAGAAAGTGGGAGGATTTTTTTTATAACAGCCAACCAAAAAAAGGGGAAGGAATTCTCTTTTTAATAGGCAAGTCTAATAATCTAATATCTAATAATAATAATAATAATAATAATAATGAGATTAACTGCAAAAACACAATCGTGGGAGGATTGAAAGTTTTTGAAATTTGATAAATTTAACTTTATTTTCTTGATTTGTAGTTTGAATTTGAAACTCCAACTATCTTGGAGAGTTGTCCTAATTTTTGACATATGTTACAATTGTGGCTATTCCACTTGGCAGCCTAACATAGTTTTTTTTATTTATATTCTATGTAAATAGATAGATTTACGGTTGCGTTAAACATGTGTGACTACATATCAATACTCTCGTGCTTCTATTTCTGTTGAAGGTGGGTTGGGTTGATTTATTCTAAATTTTATGTATAAAAATATATATTGGGTGTATGTGAACATTGACATGTACGCAAATATATCGCTTTTTGTAAGTTTTACGTATAGAACTTTGAAAGAGACGATTGCTTGTGATATATTGAAAGACGACACACGGATAAATTAATATGAGAAAACATAGGGTTTTATGTTCATGCTCTTATCTACTATCGTCTTTTTACCAATTTTAATATAATAATTTGAAAGATATCTACTTGCAATAAATTTTATCCTTTAATTATCATAAAACTTTGTTAATAAGTTGGTTTCAATTATATATTAATATTCTTTTATTTCAAGGAACTAATTATTATTGAACTTATTACGTTAATAAAAAATAATTTACGCAATTAAAAGTGTATTACTTTTGGTACATGTTTAATATTTAGCACAAGATAACTCGTGCATCGCACGAACATAGAGACTAATATTATTATAAAATTGGAAAGCCCTTAGTTAAAAAGTTAAATTACTTAAATGCCCTTTTAAATATCCTGAATATTCTTACTTATAATTTTTTTTTTAAAAAAAACCTTATCCGAAAAGGTGCCTTCTTTTTTCCCCCAAAACAGGTGTCATTTAAGAAATGACTTTGGCTTCTTTAAAAATGAAACAAAGTAAAAAACTGGAAAAGGCTAAAAATTTGAGAAAAGGATAAATGTAGTATATGGCCGAAGAGAGGACATGCCACTTCACCTTCTTAATTTTCAGATTTCATATTTTTCAAAGTTTTTGAAACGGTACAACACAACGGCTAAAAACCAATAATGCAGGCTAAATTCATTTGCAAGTCTTGAGTATTGTTCCAACCAAATTAAAGAAATAATGGTCCTACGAGATTGTGGTATTCTTTGAGGCTTAGAAGTTTTGAAAATCATATTGTTTCCATACAACATGACAAATGGCATAGAGATCCAAAATTAAGGATGAATAATTTTGTGAAGAAAATTAAGTCAGCAAGCATGTGTGTGCGCGCAGTACTTTTCTTCTTTTCACTCCTTTATCTTTTGACTTCTTCCCTTAAAAATATAGAGATAAGAAAGCAAGTAAACGGAGGAGTGACGTATCAAATATTTTTCTTCGATCGGTAAGTTAATGTCCTCCCTATACAATGGTGCAAATTCTTCTCTCTTTTTGCATGCTAGTAGCTTTGTATTATTATTATTGAGTATTTTTCGTTTTGTGATAATAAAACTCTTATTTTCTTGTGCCTTACATATATATTGGTTTAGTTTAGTATCTATTACCATAATATTAAGTTTTTGGTTTAGTTTCTTTCCTTGGTTTATTTTGGATATTAAAAAAGAGAAACTATAATGATTTATGTGGGGTATTTTTTTCATGCATTTGTTAAAGAATAAAATTATCATTTTGTATTAAATATATTTACGAATTTAAAATATACAAATTATAAAAAGGCAATATGAAAAAGTTACAAACTATAGAAAGATATGCTCAACTTTTATTATTTTCTAAGGGTAAAGGCATGATAAAACGCCTTAATTAATAGTATGTAGTATAGCTTACTAGACAATTCTTACTTCAGGAGAGTTTCTGTAACTATATTTGTTTATTATTCTAGAAACAAAATGTACTTTAGTAAAAGATAAAGTTAAGTTATTACGAAGAGAACTCAATGTATAGTTTTACGAAGGTGCCTATAAGTGACTGAAATTTAGAATATATGAGTGATCCTCAAATTAAAGAAATCATAATAAAATTTTAAAAATAATTTAAAAGTGAATTGATTAGCAAGCTATTATATTATATTTTAGTGCAGAAATCTAAATAATATTAAAGCACTTACTATTTTAAGTGAAAATACAATAGTAAAAAAAAAATAATATGAAAGAAAAAATAGAAAAGAAATAGGCAGAGTATTTTTGTAATATATTTTTCTTAAAAATATCTTTAGAAAATACAAAAAATTAAAATATTTTATGCATCAAACAGAGCATATTTTTAAAAAGTCCAAATTTAAATAATAATTAATTATATATAGACACACACAAACTTAAACATTTATAAAAATTAATTGAAAGAATAAATTCTAATATGATATTAACATGTTTTTCATATTTTCACTGCTTCTCGGTTAATATTAACACAGTCCTTTCAAAATTCATCAATTGGAAGAAATTCAATAAGAATTATAGACTCTTGCCTCCATAAAAATACAATATTCAAATGCATGGTTGTGTGTTTCCACAGAGAAAGAAAATTCTCTTCAAAATATAAAAAGAGTAGACTAATCAAGATGTAACAGTTAGACTTTATTTTGCAATAATGCTTTATTCTTCAATATATTGGAATCACTTCCTATAGATTAAAAAAAGGACAATTTGTATTTTATGCATGTTGATTGTGAGAAAAAAAAAGACATCTTTCAGTTAGCTGACCATTTGTGTATTTATGAATAAATACTTTTTCAAGAAAATTTACACAAAAACTTGAACAATTTTAAGTTGAATATACCGATTGAGATTTGAGATGATTGAGGACATATCCGGTAGAGTTTCTTCCTTTATTAGACCGGATAAGTAAGAAGCAACAATTATTATTTTCTTGTACTTACATACTTTTGTTTTTAACTTTTACTTTATAACTCAAACAGAACTTTTAATATTATATTTATGTGATTGTTTAAAAATATAATACTTATTGAGATAGAGTACACGCGCAACACGTGTGCTGAAAAACTAGTTAAAAATTAAATGTGTATGCTTCACTTTCATTCATTCCGATAATATTTAAATTTCTTCCTTAATCCACTATGATATCTTATTATCAATCTCTTCCTAAATAAACAAAAACAAAAAGAATCAGCTAACAATTTGTCCTGAAAAATGTTTGTTAAAAATCACATTCATATTAACTTCGCTAGTTCACCAATTAGGAAGTCCAAAATGACGAATGCAATAAGTCCAGGGAGTAAATAACAATTATCCAAAAATGACAGCTCCCTCTATAAAAACCTAGTGCCCCCTTTCCTCCATTAGCTTTTGGTAACTCTTTAATTCTCCCGCTCTTCGACACAGTTCTTCGCACTCAAGTCTCCTTCTTCGAACTCGCAAACTCTCAGTCTCTGTAAGTATGTCATGTTAACCGTATTCACTTTACAAATCTCGTGTATTAAGTCTGTATTTTTCTCCGTGTACATAATTTGTAAGTTTAATGTTTAAAAAATTTGGTGTCAATTTCTTGTTTATGGGGAGGGTTTATGCTTTGTTTATGTGTTTAAGGAAGATGTTTTTTGTTCTGGAAAGATATGGTTCTAGAAGGTTCTGGAATTGCAGGTTTTGTCAATTAGGGATTTAAAACACCAGGGTTTTGGAGGTCGTAGTTGAAGTAAGAGAGTTTTCGGAGCTTTGGGTTAAGTTTTTTTTTTTGTGGGGGGGTGGGGGGGATGTGGGGTATCTCAAGGTAATAGGGTTTTGTATTTTTGCAGTTTCTGGACTTAGTTCTTTGGTAACTGGAAATCAATGGTTTCCAGTCGATAATGTACCCGTCTCATCACTCTTCCCCACTTAAATGCCAGATTTAGTTCACCATTATGATTCCAACTTGTGAAGTGGCGAGATGCAGTAATACCTTTGCTGTTGAACCGCAGCCTTGGGGCTTCTGGACTTAGTAATAGAGGATGATTTGATCAAATAAATAAGTTGTAATGTGTAAGATGTTATTGGGTTTTGTGACTTTACACTTCAGTAAGCTATTGGGGGTTTTACTCTTTCTTTTTTTCTGTTGATAAAATCCAATCTAGGGATCTTACTTGAGCAGGCAAGGCGCGTGTTTGAGATTTTCTTGGGTCAGTGATGCCTTTATGGAATGACGTTGATAAGGCTGTTCTTTTAAGGCAAAAAGGAGTAATTATTTAAACTTAAACTTAAACATAAGTTTATTCTTTTGCTATAGTTTTGGTGTGGTTAGTCTATTGTTAATGATGGTACATGCTGTGTTAGACGTGCTTATACTTCTGCACAACTTGTTGTAAACCTATGTAGCACTTTCTTAGTGATTTTGTTCATCAATAATACTTTAACTTTATCAAAAAAGAAAAAGAAAAAGGTTGAATTTTGTGTGTTCGATGCTTTGGGGTTGGTGATGTCAGCATGGAGTTCAATTTATTGGTCATTCCCAATCCTTTTCTGTGACCCTACAGGGTCTGTTCTTGCATTTTGCCTAATCTTTTACCTTGTCACTGTTTTCCAGTTTTAATCTTCTAGTTTCTTGAAAATCTTTATGGAAAGAATATTAGAAAGGGTGCCTTTTCTTCTATCTCTCATTTTTTTCCGGGTGAGCATAGGGTACTGACTTCACGAAGATAAAACTGTTATGTCCCAGCTTCAGTACGGGTCAAATGCAGGAGGACATCAGGGTTCAATAGTTTATTTGATCAATCGGCTGTACTCTGGGTATTTTTCTAAATGTTTTATTTGTTTTTTCTTCCAGAAAATGGCTGACGAAAATTTTGAGCAACCTGAGATGGGTAACTTGCATGACACAGAAAACGTGGATAATAGGGACGGTGCTCAATTCAACAATAATTTGAATGGCACAGATAATGGCCATGGCTCTGATCATGTACACGATGCTGATCACGTGCACGACGCAGATCACGTGCACGACACAGTTCACGTGCACGACGCAGATCATGTGCACACCACAGATAACGTGAACCATGCAGATCATGTGCAAGACGCTGGTAATGTCCATGGTACAGAGGACGTGCATAACATGGATGATATTCATGATTCAGATGCTATTCATGGTGTGGATAATGCACCTGAGGAGACTCATCCTTCTGAAGAGGTACAAGTTGCTCGAATTGATTCAGGAGCCAGCGAAGAAAAACGATGGCCTGGCTGGCCAGGAGAAAATGTTTACAGGATGTTAGTTCCTTCTCAGAAGGTTGGTGGTATCATTGGCCGCAGAGGAGAGTATATTAAAAAGACCTGTGAGGAGACAAAAGCTCGCATTAAGGTTCTTGATGGTCCTCCTGGGACCACTGAAAGAGCTGTGAGTTGCTGAATAGATATTGTTATTTACACTTTTTAGTATTTACATAATTATGGACATTTTTGTATAATGTTATGCGCTTTTAATGATGTGAAATTATTTTTTACCTAGATAACCGGTGATGGTTTTGGTGCAGAAAGCTACATGCTCCATCTCTCTTCTTACTGTTTGTTAACTCTTTTTATGTGCTTGCACATGGTAATATAGGCATCCTTGTGTGAGCTTCACCCATCTTCATGCATGTAGGATTATGATTATTTTTCAATAAGGTAAATTGTATTAAATGATTATTTTTATTTCAAGTCTTGCCAACTTTTAGTCAATTCAGTGGTTGTCATGCTATAGCTTAAGGTTGATCTAGAAGTGTTCTTACAGCTAGTAGAACTGCTTGTTAATGGTGAGGTCTTCTTTTTTACAAAATGCTTGCTTATGGGCATGGTTTTAGGTATTGTTACTTATTTTTGTAGAAATCTGCATCAAGGATATTTCACTTGACTCATTTATTATTAGGTTGTATGAAGTAAAGATGCCTAACTCGTCCACCCACCACATATACCTGAAAAAGAAAAGAAGAACAGAGGTTCATGGAATCCCTTTAGGCTCAGCCCCACCCTGTGTCGATATGTTATTGCAAGCGAACTGAAGTGGTGATAACAGCACTGTAGTAATGATCAATCATACATGAAATCTATGTAAAGAAGCAGCAGTTAAAAGAAAGCAGTAATCATCAACATTGATAGTAGAATCTACTATCTCAGAAAATAAAGTGAGGGGAAAATGGTAGAAATAAGAATACTATACAGCTGCTTGAACCATAATAATGACTTAACGTCTTTTAACTTCAGAAGAGAATTTATTATTCAATTAATTGAACCATAACTATGATTAACTTCTTCAAAGTGGGCTAAAAACAATCCAGTAACACAACCAAAATGATCTCAGACAGTTTCTTTTTCATAGTAACCAACATGAGTGTGTGCAGGTTCTTGCCCCATATAAGGAAACATTTCAATGAAAGTGCGCTTTGTACTAGAAGAACCAAGATCCAGACTGCAGTCATCAGCATTGAGCATTACAAGTGCTGAAAAGTTTTTCTGACAATCCATGAGAATTGGCTTCATCCAATATGAGTTTCAAGAAGCATTGCACCATGTCTGGTAACTTCAAAACTTGGTTGGTGTCTTGCCAGAAGGTGTTCACTGTATGAAAGAGGAAGTTAACAAACGTAACTAACAATTTGCAGGACATAACTTCCAGATTAAGAACATTCAAAATCATTTATACATATGAAAAATCATAAAGTTGAAGTTTATATGCTGGGGTATAATCGAACATGAAGCTTGTAAAAGGAGTTGAGTAGAATTCATCTTTTTAATTTATGAGAAGTTGCGCAAAATCTAGCAGCAGTGTTTTTTCAATTGACTATACCAGAAGGATAAGAACTTGCTTCTATATTTCTGTGGGTATATATAGCTAAATAGTCTTGAAATAAATGAAACGTTGGATCTGTATTTTTTTTTTTTGAATTGGTAACTATTGTATATATTAAAACATCAGTACATAGGTTGCACTGAAAACCAAATTTACATGAAGAGGATTAGTAGATGTTCTAATTCGAGACCTAGCAAGATCCTAGTATGTCTATGATTGTCAATGTATCTTCTATGTAAATCTGTTTGCACCAAAAACAAAAAAGAAGAATACAGAGTTTGATCTTCTGCACTGGATTGCTTCTATCTTCAAAACATCTCGCGTTCCTTTCCCTCCAAACTGTCCACCAGATACAAGCCGGGACAGTCCTCCATCTATCTCTACTAGTTGCTTCAGCTTCAGCTTCTTCCCAGCTATAAAGGACATCTTTAAGCTTGTATGGCATTGATCATAAAATACCCCTAAGACTAATAAAGATTTTCCATAGTTGGTCTGTAATCTTGCAATGTAGAAACAAATGTGTGACAGTTTCAGCATTTTCCCCGCACAGAAAACATCTTGAGCACAGAGAAATTCCCCTTTTTATGAGATTATCCAGGGTTAATACCGCCTCATTTGCTAGTAGCCAAGTGAAGCAAGCTACCTTGTATGAAATCTTTGTTTTCCATATATGTTTCCAAGGTCATGGGTCCTCCTGTTGATTATTATGATTTAAAATCTTATATGCATCCTTCACCCGGTAAACCCCTCTGTTGTGCCTCTTCCACCAAAGTGAATCAAAACCTTCCTGTAATCCTTTAAATGCTTCCAGCTCTTTGTAAAGGTCAACTAATCTTGTTATCTCCCAGTCATTCAACTGTCTTCTTAGAGCGATTTCCCATCCTTGATGACTCCTCATATCAGCTACTGTTTTATGCTGGTTTTGTGCTAAACCAAACATATCGGGATATCTTTCCTTTAAGCTTCCGTTTCCTAACCAGTTATCATTCCAGAATGATGTGTTTCTTCCGTTGTTCACTCTTATGGAGGAGTGATTCTTCATTATAGGCCAAAGTTCTCTGATGGATTNATGTCTGGATCCTCGACACTTCATGTCGAATCATTAGTTGATCAATGTTGTTGTTTCTCTTGTGTGCATTTGCAGTGCGATGGAAAAATTTTGTATTCCTGTCCCCTTCTTTGAGCCACAGAGCTCTTGATTTTTGTCTCCATACAATTTCTTCATTCTTGAGTTGTTCCTCAATCTCCATTAGAGTAGCTGTTTTCCTCACTGATTCCTCCTCTGTCAGCGCTCTTAGTTGTTGTGTTGTCTCAAAAC